CGGAACTATTTTATAAAGAAAAATTTTAAATTAAGATAAAATTAGAATTTTTTAAATTGGAGAAACATTTTTTTTTCTCTTTATTTTATCAAATAAAAGTATACTTTAAAAATTAAATTTGGAACATTTTATATCGGTAATAAGTATTTTAGTTCACAAAAGTTATTTAATAACTATTATTACTTTTCTCTTCCTTCGACTTTAATAAATTATTTAAATATAAAATTTTTGAAATATAATGTAGCGATTTTATTAAAACAATTTCTTTTAAAGATTAATTAAATGGAAAGAAATATATCACAGAACTTTAGCGACAGTTCTCTGGAGAAAATAGTTAGATTTTTATTTTCTCACTGAATTTATTTTCCTAAAATATTCTTCGGACACACACAGACGCTTGTATATAGTATTGCTTTAATAATAATTGTAATAGAATATAATTTTTAAACAGGAAAATAGAATTTTATCAATATCTCAACCAGTAAAATACATTTAAAATTTTATCATTCCATAACATTTCTCTCCTTTGTACATGAATACTTTTTACAAGAATAGTTATTCCTTCAGAAAATATCTGCACTTATTTTTTTACTAAATAAATATTTCTCTCATTTCATTTTACATTTATTTTTCGAGCATTTTTAGCTAATTAACTTCAAGTAAGATTCATCTGTTTCAAGTTTTCTAAATAGCAATCCTTTATTGAAAATTATCGAACTGCAATGGGTGAAAAAAGATTTAAAGTTTTTACAGTAAATATATTTATGCATTAATATACTTATTTAAAAATTTATCAACAAAGATTTGTTTTAAGTTCTCAAAATTAATTTAAATATATTTTAGTTCAAAATAGAAATATAGGAAAGAAACTGTTCATCTCTCCATAGCTGTGTGTTTAATAACAGTTTGTTTTTTTTATTTTTGATTTAACGTCAATAATTAACTTTAAAATATTTAAATAATAAATGCAATATAACAGAAATCAAACTCAAATTCGCAACTACTTTCAATTTTGATTACTTTGCCTCTAATTTATTTACTTTTGAAAGAAATTTTTCATTTTTTTTCCCATCTATTTTTTAAATTTTAATGAGTTTTATATCTTGATCGCTTAATATATTTTTAACACTAAAATTTCCAACCAAAAATATATCTACAGATTATTCTTAATACTTCTCTTAAATCTCTGTCTTTATACAATTTCTATCGATATTTTTTAATATAATTTTTTTTAGAAATTGTACCTCACAATTCTGTTTGACAAGTTCCGAATCAAGCCTCCATTTAAGTCACAAAACTTTCTAAATACATCAACATCTTCGAGAAAATTTCAAAAGTTAACTTTCATTTAACACGTAGCACTTATCGTTCTTCTAATCCGTTTCAATACAAATTGTCAGTCATTTGCAAAAAATGAGTCCAAAAAAATTCACTTTTAAAAAAAATCTACGCACGTGCGACAATTACATCCAATATTTCTCCTTTCAGTATTTGTTTTCCTCCTTTGAGTCTCTCCTTGCAGTCTGTGAGTCACGCCGACACAAAACAAAAGATCTGTCACGGAGTACTTTGTTGGCACATCTTCTCCAAGGGAGCTTGCAACACGTGCAAAGAGAACTGCTGACTGAAGAGACCATCCGACGATTATTCGCTCCGGGAACAGAGCTCCTCCCTCGCATCGTGACGTCACAGGAATCGAAGCAAGACAGAACGGGGGTGTTTTTCTTAACGACCCATATCGAGATTTTAGGAGTGTTTAGGACCCTAACTTTTGATACATATTGTTCGAAAAACAGCAAACTGTGTTTCATGAATTTAATTATTTGGAATAAAATTATTGAATGTAGAGGTTATTCTAGATTGAATATCAGTGTTTTCTGTGCAGTAGAATTATTTTAAAGTGCTAATTGATATAATAATTTTTTTTTTAAAAAAGTCTCTTAACTGAAAGTACTATATTAAATATGTTCTCTAAGAAGAGAGATTTCATTGACGTATTAATCAAGAATCACAAATGGTCATATAGACTGGCCCTGAAAATAAGAGCACACTTATTTATCAAATTATTCATCGCACCAGTTCATTTTAAAGCTTTTTTATTTCTAAAAATTTTCACTTTTGACTTTTCTTTGATAATTTTTATATATTTCTCACTTATTTACAAATTTTAAGAAAAAAATGTAATATATATAAGTTGTAGAAAATTGAAAAAATATATATATAAATATAGAGTAGATACCAAACATTTAACTTTAGCGTACTGTTTCATAACATAAAAAAATTACTAAAATATTATTAATGTTATTCTTATAATTTTAGTTTTTAATGTGTTATTACTTTAGTAAATATATATATATATATATATATTATTTATTAATAATGTTACTAATCGGTCTTTATATTTTTCAAGATTTGTATTTCGATCACTGAATCTGGCAATAATTGTCTTATTCTTTAATTCGAGACCAATCGAAGAACTTTCGGATGTTTCTTTAGATTATTAATAATATCTCAAAACTTCTATACTCGTTATATTCCATGAAATTTCTCTCTGTATTAAAAAGGTAAACAGGAAGGTTGGCTAGCCATAATACTGGGCAAACCCCACTTTTTAAAAAGCAATCATCAGTCTGCATTGTTTATAGTTTTTCAGCGCCCATCTTTATTGTTTCCAGAAACTTCTCGTGTCTATTTTAATTTCTAGTATTCAAATCATTTGCTTCTCAAGAAAACATTAAATATTATATATGTATCTGGATGTACGTGTGTAATTCTCAATACCAAAGTGAAACTCAGATTCGAAACTAAGCTCTCTTTGCAATAATATTCTAAATTATTTCATACTTTGAACTACAAATCCGGATAAAACATTGTAAATACAAGAAGGTAGAAAAGGGAGGCAATAAACAGAGAGAAGGATCGAAAATAAAAATATTTCTGGAACACATTCCGGGGGCGCGTCACCCTCTTTTATCAAAACAATAAACCCTTATGGAAGCGAATGCTTGTTTATTAACGTCGCACTTCGAAATTACACAAGGGTTATTGGCGAGAGCCTCGTAATAGTGAAATAATGCCCAATAATGGGGAGGACACCCAAGACTTGTAACATCTACACTACACCATAGAAGCTTTAGGGGGATCCATAACATGAACTAGGGAATTATAAGAGAATTTACTAAAGAAAATTCGTAATGTGAACTATTGTCATAGAAACATCGACATTGACGATAAAGAGATACTGCTGTGGCGGTGGTATCTATATAAGCCATAGTAGCCTCCGGGCTAGAATGATCATTTTAGTCTAGTGGATATGTTATGTGCTTACGGAACAGAAGGTGCCGAGTTCTAATCTCCTTCATTGGTGACCCTGGCTCAACTTTGAAACCACGCAACCTTCGTGGAGCAGACGTGTGGTTCCAACTATTCTCCGCAAGAGCAACCAAAAAGCCGTCAGACACGTATGACGCAGCCCAGCAAGCCATCAAATCACATGACGCAACCCAGTAAACCATCAAATCACATGACGCAACACCCAGGTCGTTAAAACACACTTGACGCAACAGCAATAACTCACACGTATACCATAACAACTGTATCGTTCACCTATCCACTGACTCACTGGCAGGGGTTTGGCGGTGGTATCTATATAAGCCAATAATAGCATCTGGACTAGAGTGATCATTTTAGTCTAGTGGATATATTATATGCTTACGGATCGAAAGGTACCGAGTTCTAATCTCCTTCAACGGTATTTTCAACCTTCTTTAGTTAACGAAAAACATGTTTCCGTCTATAGAAAATTATCAAAAAATAAATCTTTAAGCAAAAAGTAATCGAGAGAAAAACCAATCGGTCAGACTGTACATAACATCGCCTATCGAAGCAATACAGAAACTATTGGCGATGGGTCTCGTAATTTATTTAGGAAATGTTAATCCTTTCATTTTTGAGTGAGTTATCTGTATTGCTCTTGCACTGTTGAGTTCTGCTTGCAAACCTCTTAAAATTTTTTAATTTTACAAGAACTAGAAGATCTCTCTTTATTAAATACTGTTTTTGAAAAAAAATCCGGAAACAGTAATGTTAAATGTAATTAACGATTTTATTAACGACAACATTATTTAACGACAACATTATTTATTAAATTGAATTTGGGAAAAAAATAAGTCAATTTGGCACGCAGTTCCTTCAAAACTTTTAACTTTTCAAAACCATTTTTTTAAAAACATAAAATATTGATTTTTCTTAAAACTTTTTAATTATATTTTTTCCAAGGTATATTTATATTTAGATTATAGGGAACAAAAGGTAGATCGGAATTAAAAACCTGACTGTTGAATTTCAATAATCATTTTTTTTAGTTTAATAAAAAAAAATTGTTTTAAGAAAACAAATTTTGTTTTATTTAAAAATATGAAGTGGACTAAAAATTAATATTTTTACTTAATTTTTCATTGTTCAGGTTCCACTACTGCTTCACTCCTAAAGTTGCCCTTATTTGTAGATACTTATGGAAACAGCTCTTTAAAACAATAACTTTCAGCACACAAACAGAAATAATCCTTTCTAAATTCGAGTTATATCAGTTCCGCTTCAGAAAAAGTACATAGTTTTATTCCAAGATTATTTCATATAAAATTATTCGTTCATCGATATCATTTTTATTTCAAAAAATTAAAATAAAAAATATATGGTTATTGCCTAGACTTTTCTCTAATAGGTAGCTTATTTTAGCATTCAATAAAAAAATTCTCTTTTTCAATTGCTACTTTTAGTTCACTCTATATATATTTATAAATATATATATATATTGTTCAAATTTTCAATCGTTAATAAAATACTTTCTATTCATCCATTCAAGTTCAAATATATTTTTTAAACTTATAGTGGATGACACTTGATGTTAATACAGTTTTTTTTCAAATATTAAATTAGAAAACGAATAAATAGTAACAAACAGTTCAATAGCATATATAGAAAGGAAAATCGTTCGTTTTGTCCCTGTAGGGCAATGGATAGCCCGTTTTGGACATTTAATCCAAAGGTCGTGAGTTCGGATCCCACCTGGAATGGCCTAATTTCTGCGCGAATGTGATTTCTTTTTTACTATACTATTTTACTAGAATAATTAAATTTAATAAACGAATAAATGATAACAAACAAACAAAAAAAGCCAGTCCAAAACCCTATATAGAAAGGAAAACGAAAAATTGCAAGGAAAATTACTTTCTATTTTTCACTATTAAGTGTGATTTTGTCGTATATACATATTTTTATATTAATTGTAACCATTTAATAAAAGGTAAATAAAATTTTAAAAAATTTGTTGACCTAAGTAGGAGAATTTACTTAATTTTCTTTTTATATTACTTGTTTTTTAGAAGGTCTCTTTTGTTATAAATACTGTTTTCGAACAAAAAAAATTCTGGAAACAGTAATGTTAAAAGTAATTAACAATTTTTTTCCAGACGTCATTATTAAATTGATTTTGGAAAAGAAACATAAGTCAGTTTAGCAAGCAATTACTTCCAAAACTTTTAATTTTTAAAATCCATTTTAAGTTTTTAAAACATAAAATATTGATTTTTCTTAAAACATTTTAAATATTTTTCCAAAGGATTTATACTTAGATTATACGGAACAAAAGGTAAACCGGAATTGAAAACCTAGCTCTGTTGAACTTTAATAATCATTTTTTTAGATAAACAAAAAGAATTGTTTAAAAAAACAAATTTTGTTTTATTTAAAAAATGAAGTGGAATGAAAAATAAAATTTTTACTTAATTTTTCATTCTTCAGTTCCACTAATTCTTCACTCCTAGAGTTCCCTTATTTGCGTAGATACTTTTGGAGAAGCAGCTCTTTCAAATAATAACTTTCAATAACACAAACAGAAATAATCAGTTTCTAAATTCGAATTATTTCCGTTCCGTTTCAGAAAAAGTACATACCGTAAAATCTGGCTTATAACGCGTTCTTTTAACACACAAATAATTATCGAAATTTACGAGTGCGTGTTATACACAGGGTATAAAATTGAAAGCTTCAAAATTTTTTTAAAAAAAGGAGCATAGAAAAAAATTAGACTTTTATACATAAATCGAAATACGGTTTATTTAAAAGAAATGATTACTTAAACGGTTGTAGTTCTAGAAATATATTTTTTTTTTCTAAGGCTTGGAATAATACATCGAATAAATGACTTCAAAACATAAGATTGCACACATATATTTCGGGTTCCTTCGTAGAAAAGGGGTTCGCGTTATACGGCGAGTATACCTCAAAATTATAAAAAGGACTTAAAGTATATGTGCGCGTTATACTCCGGGTTTTGCGGTAGTTTTATTCCAGGATTATTTCGTATAAAATTATTCGTTCATCAATTATTTTTATTTTAAATTTTTTAAAAAAAATATGGATATTGTCTAGACTTTTCTTTTAGCATTCAATACTTCTCTTTTTCCATTAATTTTAAAGGTCATGCCATCGATTTGGTCTAAATTGTAGCTCTATATAGAATTATAAGTTCTATTCACGTTATGACTTGATAGAAGACGAGGTATCGACCCCATGTAAATAATAACTTTCCCATTCAATATCGTTTAAAAAACATTTGAAAATAGTAATTTGTTTTCCAAGAAGCAAAATCAATGGAAAAACCCCGAATAAAATATGCAAATGTTACCTTTCCCCCTCAACATATGTTTGAAAAATAGCCTTTTGAAGTTATTCTATTTGTTATTATTATTCTATTTGTTAAAGCAAAAGTAGCCCAATAAAATTTTAGCACGGAATTTTCTCTATGTGTTCTGCATTGATTTTTTAAATACTATTGATTAGAAAATTTTGATTTTTTCTTTTTGAGAAGTTGCTACAGTGAAATTTAAAAAGAAAACATTTTTAATGAGATATGTTTACAAAAAAGTCACCAAGTCTCTTTATTTATTATATATTCACATGCATCTAAATCTATATCTATTGATCTAAAGATATTTGTTATGCATAAATATCTATATCAGTAACAGCGTTGTCCTGAAAATCGAAACCAATATTAACAGAAATAAAAAAGAAGTAATACATAAAAAAAATTAAGTCAATTCTTACTTTGAAGGGATGAATAGAAAGTATTTTATTAATGATTGAAAATTTGAACAAGAGAGATATATATAGGGAGAGAGTGAACTAATAGTAGGAACTGAAAAAAGAGCATGATTTGTCTGCATTGTTGTAACAATGCACACCCAGTTTGGCTGAAAAGCCGATTTTCGACGCCAGCTTTTGTCACTGTTTTAACAGTTACATTGACAAAACAATGAAGTCGAATCTAAGTTGGCATCGAAAACCGGTAATTAATTAAATTAGTGAATTAATATTTGAATAAACTGTATTAAAACATCAAGTATCATCCACTACAAGTTTAAAAAAATTTATTTGAACTTGAATGGATAATTAGAAAGTATTTTATTATCGATTGAAAATTTGAACTCTCTCTCTCTCTCTCTCTATATATATATATATATATATATATATAGGGAGAGAGTGAACTAAAAGTAGAGAATTGAAAAAGGGTCTAGGGACTACCAAAGTGAGAGGATTGTTTTTAAGGTCATTATCAAACTCCTACGTCTGAGGTGCCACAGAAATCAAATGACTCAAAAGCAACTACTGAAACAATCAGTTGCTGAAGTGTTGACCCGGAAATTGAACATTCGATAGTAATACACCTTGTGACATTACTATTTGAATATACCTCCATCTAATGGTTTTAAACACATTTACTCATAAATCATGAGAAAGAATATGAATGGTTATGACACATTCGTTGAATAAACCCACTATCTCAACTAGAGACTACCGATAAAAAATCAATGGAAATATTTCAGACTTTGCTCAACAAATAGGAGATGGATAGCTCTATTGTAGATAGAATACCTTTTTTTTTTGAAAAAGTTATCAAAAAGCTGTTACACCGAAAAATGGCCTCTTACAAATGAAAATTCGCCATGATGGAAATAAAAAGTGTCTAATAATTGTTCCAAAAATTATTACCTTTCCCTCCTAGTAGTCTTAGTTGTCTGCAGACCCTTATATAGGGAGTTTAACTCAAATGTCTCAAACATTATCTCCCCGAGTTTCAACCTATCACATATTTTTCTAAACAGATTGTGGATAAGTTATAATTATTTAGTTATACCTATTTTATAGATAGATGCATGTTGTAATCTATCTATATATTTGTCTGCATTCATATATTATATAGAGATCTAACTAGATGTAATACAAGGATGTCAAACTCAAATGCAGTCTTGGGCCAAATAAACAAGGTTTAACTTAATCAATATTAATGGAAAAAAATTTCAAATAAACCTTTGTAATAAACATATATAAAAAGAAAAAGAAAATTTTAAAATATACGTCCCGACACTTGACATCCCGTCTCTGCTGCTATCTTTCATTTTTTCGAGAAATTTTGATATTTTATTGCATATCATTGTATGTCAATATACCGCCCGGGCCACAAAAATACTTGTTGCGGGTGGCAGGCCACGAGTTTGACACCCCTAATATAATAAATTATAATTCTAATACTTCCTTTAAGTTCAGTTAGAGCACAAAACTGTGTTATAATTTACTCCTACACAGAATTAACAAACCTCCTAATTAATAAACCTACAGAAATTAATCCTTAAAATGTTTCAAAATTTGCAGAAATTATGTTGTGAAAAAATATCTGTGGCCTCTTTTAGCAAAACTGTAAGTGTAAATCATATTTTGTTATGGGTATCGTGAATATTTAAAAAAAAAAACTTTTACTGAAAGATTCTTAAATTACTCCTTTACAATCGATCTCATCCTATAAAATATATATAAGTTTCATGAAGAAGTATTCAATGTCTATACATAAATCATAAATAAAAATTAGAGTCATAAGTACTTGCGTTTTATAGCGTCAACCACAATTTCGTCGAATAAAAAACCTTGATTTACAACCAATAGGGAAAAACCGAACCCGCGCATGTTCAAACAGAATAATTTTGAATGCGAATAGTATTACAATTCGTAATACTATTCTTCCCTCATTTTGAAAAAATGATTAAAATTTGGGATCTATTTTCTGTGCAGAAGGGAACATATTGGAGTATTTCCAAAAATGCAGTCTTATGTGTAAGTTTCTGAAAGAGTTTGGGTTTTAGAATCATGGCAAAACAAAAATTTAGCGAAACTACATCGACATCGTTTAGATTCGTACTGACTATGTGAATTTATGTGGCGCGGCTTACAAAAAGAATTCATTTATCACAATTTGGATTGCAATTACATCGCTTCCTTCCAATGATTGTCCAAATGGAAACGTAATGCTCTCTTAAGTGGAAAAAAAAAGTATAGAAGGTTTAAGGGTGACAAATCTAGACTGTATGGCAGGTGTTCCAACCTTTTCAACGGATGTTTTTAAGGATGTCTGGATTTCACGGGTGACGTTTCGGCCAGTATTGTCATAGAGATCTGATGTCATTTACCGCCTTTCATAAAAACCTTTGCACAAATTGTTCGAACTAAATAGTTCTCGCCATTGGCTGACTACTCCTATTCGCTGCTAGATGCCCAAATCCATCTTACCTTACTCAATCAGAAACTATACTTCAATATATGGACGTATCCATAAATAGCACAACTTTACTTTTGATCTATTTCCTTTACCACGAACAAGTCTCCTTTCTGCACGTCGTATGCGGTGAACACCTCCTGCCTCCCTTTATATCCATGTTTGGTGGCACTGCTAGAGCTGCAATCATTCTGACACAATTGAAGGGCTTTACTTTTCATTTCGGCAACCCTTATACATTATACATATAACCCCTTAGAAGCTAAAATTATTCTTGGCATAAAACAAAAGCTATGAAGTAGGAGCCATCTTAGTTGTCGATCTCATCTGATTGCAGTTTAAAATTGTGTGAGATATATTTCTTAGTTTCATCTTAAATGCATTTTTCATTTGTTGCTAATTGCATATTATTTTTTTCATAAATTTCTACAGAAAAAGGCAGTAGGCGAGAACCGTCTCACCATCAGA